TCACCACGTTGGTCAGGCTGGACTTGAACTCCTGACCTCAAATGATCCACCCGCCTCAGCCTCCCAAAGTGCTGGGATGACAGGTGTGAGCCACCGTGCCTGGCCGACATATCATTTTTATGGGTTTAGTTGCTAAGCATTTCTAGTTGGTTGTCTTATGAAGGTCTGCCACAGTACAGAGGTGGGTAACCTGTTCTATTTGGCCTTGAGGAGGAGAACTAACACAGTAAAACCACAATGAGCGCTTCACATGCCTGATGCCTGGCTGAGGACATCAGTTGCATGATCTCATTGGATATTCCCAACAACCTGGTCACATAGGTTACACTGTTGTCCCCATTGTGCAGGTGAGAGGTTGAGGTTCAGAGAGGTTAGAATAATATGCTCAGGGTCATATTTCAGCAAGTGAACCCCACTTTTGAATCCAAGTCTGTTCAAGGAGCTTTATTTATTTATTATTTATTCATTTATTTATTTATTTTGAACGGAGTCTCGCTCTGTCGCCCAGGCTGGAGTGCAGTGGCCGGATCTCAGCTCACTGCAAGCTCCGCCTCCCAGGTTCCCGCCATTCTCCTGCCTCAGCCTCCCGAGTAGCTGGGATTACAGGCGCATACCACCATGCCCAGCTAATTTTGTATTTTTAGTAGAGACGGGGTTTCACCATGTTAGCCAGGATGGTCTCGATCTCCTGACCTCGTGATCCTCCCGCCTCGGCCTCCCAGAGTGCTGGGATTACAGGCGTGAGCCACCGCGCCCGGCCTCAAGGAGCTTCTAAAGGCCTGGCGGGGTTGTTTTTGGTGAAGGACCAGAGCTGCAGGGGGACACAGTGGCTTAGCGAGAGACTTCCCAGCAGAATGTCCAAAGAAGGATGAGACTCCTGTAGGAAGTTGGGAGCTCCCTGCTATGGCAGGCATTAAAAAAACTTTTTAAGGCCAGGTGTGGTGGCTCTCGCCTGTAAATCCCAACACTTTGGGAGGCCGAGGCAGGAGGAGTATTGCTTAAGGCCAGGAGTTCAAGACTAGCCTGCGCAACATAGTGGGACTCCGTGTCTATAAAAGATGTGAAAATAAGTTGGGTGTGGTGCAGCATGTTTGTAGTCCCAGCTACTTGGGAGGCTGAGGTGAGAGGATCACTGGAGCCCTCGAGGTTGAGGCTGCCGTGAGCTGTGATTGCTCCACTGCACTCCAGCCTGGGCTACAGAGCAAGAGCCTGTCTCAGAAAACAACAACAAGAAATCAAACTTTAAAAGAAATTGTATTGGCCAGGCACGATGGCTCACACCTGTAATCCCAGCACCCTGGGAGGCTGAGGCGGGCAGATCACGAGGTCAGGAATTAGAGACCAGCCTGGCCAACATGGTGAAACCCCATCTCTACTGAAAATACAAAAATTAGCTGGGTGTGGTGGTGTGTGCCTATAATCCCAGCTACTCAAGAGACTGAGGCAGGAGAATCACTTGAACCCGGGAGGCAGAGGTTGCAGTGAGCCCAGATCGCGCCACTGCACTCCAACCTGGGCGACAGAGCAAGACTCTGTCTCAAAAAAAAAAAAAAAAAAAAAAGAAATTATAAAAGATTTAATTTAGACAAACAAAAATAGGGAGAATAGTGCTATACACCAACATATACCGATCACTCAGCTTCAACAAAATCAACATTTTACTGCAGATGAACATTTTAAGCAGATGGATGGCTACTTTGGGGGGCTATAGTTACGATGATTTGAACATTGGATTCATCCCTTTCTACATGGAGAGTCAGCAATTTAGAGTGCCCTGAAGTGCATGGTGACTCGCCTGTCAGTGGGACTGGCATTTAGTGATGTACCCTTTAATCACCCCCAGGATGGGGCCGGGCAATCGTAGGAGCCGATGCAGAGTCCTCCTCCTCCCCTTCCTCCCTCCTCTCCGCCTATCGTCGGGCCCGCCGGGACCATGGGAGCTGCTTGGCACCAAGCAGTGGCGGGAGCACAAGGCGATTAGGGTGTCAAGGCTAACCTCTCAGAGGGAGTCTAGATTGTAAAAGCTTTTAAAACTCCTTAATTTTGCATTAATGAGAATAAATGTCCTTTTAATACGAAAACCCTTTCTGAAGAGGACAGCAGAGAGCTGATGATTGTGGTCCGGTCACATGCCTTCCTTTCTGCCTGTCTCCTGGGCTCTCTAACAACCACACAAACCATCAGCCACATCGTTGGAAAGCGCTGCTTCATATTTTATCGAGCCAGCCCACATGCCTCCTGGGTTTGTTTTCTGTTTCTGGGAAGGAGGAAAGCCACAGTTCAGTGACGGTGAACCTGCTTAGTGGAGTCAAGTGAAATCACATTTGGGATCCAGTCTTGCCGATTTTAATGGCAGCCTTAATTCAGTTTGGTTTCCCTACCTACAGCATATAAAGCCCTTTGCTAGGCCCTGGGGGAGAGATAGAAATGAAGGAACGAAGCCTCTACTTTCCAAAACAGTCAACACAGACGGGCAGGAGTAACTTGAGCAGAGAGCTAAGTGCTTCAGTGAGGGCACCCCGAGCGAGCCGGAGGGGAGGAGAGGGAGCGATTAGTGTCTTCTGAAAGGCCTGTGGTTACGCCGGTTTCCAGACTCCATTTTCAGGCTCAGTAAAAGCAGAAGAGAAACCAGGATCATAAAAGAAAGCTAAAAGGCGAGCAGCAGACAGGGAGAAAATATCTGGTAGTGAATAG